TCAGATTTTCTTGTTCACGGCATTGGTGGTTCAGTGGTAAAATTCTCACCTGCCAAATTCATACTTTCCCGCCTATTTTTCTTGACATACTGCACTAGTAAGAATCTCCAGTTTGACTTCAGGCAGGAGTGGGAGGTGCATACATCCTTGCCTTGTTCCCAGTCTTAGGAGAAAAGCATTTAACCTTTTACAACTGAGGATGAAATTAGCTGCAGATTTTTTGTAGAGGCCTTTGTGAGGTTGAGGAATTCCACTTCTACTCTTAGTTTGCTGAGAGTTTTTATGTAAGTGGATAGCACGTTTTACCAAATGCTTTTTATCCATCAACTAAAATGGGCATATAGCCTTTTCTTTTTTCTGTTGATAGGATGGATTACAGTGATCAATTTCTGAATGTTCAACACCAAACTCCAAAAGTTAACCCTACTTGGTCACATTCATTGCCCTTTTCATATTATCTATATTAGAATCGCTGATACATTGTTGAAGACTTTTCCATCCATGTTCATGAATACAAGTCTATAGCTTTCTTTTTTATAATGCTTTTGGCTATAGTGTTAGAGTGATACTGGTCTCATAAGATGAACTAGAAAATCTTTTCTTTAATTTCTGAGTTTGTGTAAAAATTTTTCTTCCTTAAATGTTTGGTAGAATTTACCAGACAAACCATTTGCGTCTGGAGTTTACTGTTGGAAAACATCCAAGTTGTCAGATTTATTGATATAAAGAGTTCATAATATTTACTTTTTATCCTTTGTGTGTCTGGCACTCTGGATAGATGCCCCTTCTTCATTCCCAGTACTGGAAATTTCTATCTTTCCTTTTATTAAATAGACTATTGTCTGGTAAGAAGTTGACCAGTTTTAATGGTATTGGCAAAGAACTTGCTTTTAGGGTAACGAATTTTCTTTTTCAATTTTATTGGTTTCTGATCTCTATTATTTTTTCCTACTGCTTAATTGGGTTTGAATTTCTCTTTTTTCCCAGCTTGTTTGAGACAGGGTCTTGCTTTGTAATGCAGGCTGGCCTTGAACTCGTAGTGAGCCCCCATCTCAGCCTCCAGAGTACTGGGATTATAGGCATGCACCACTCCGCCCAGCTTCCAGTTCCTTAACAGAATCATAGATCACTGGCTTGAGACCCTGCTTTTATAGTACAAGCTTTTAATGTTACACATTTCCCTCGAGGTCTTGTTTTTGCTACATCCTATAACTTTGTATGTTATATTTTCAGTTTTGTTCAAAATATTTTCTAGCTAAGCATGGTGGCACACACCTGTAACCCCAGCACTCAGGAGGCTGAGGCAGGAGGATCGTTGTGAGTTCGAGACCAGCCTGGGCCAAAGAGTGAGCTCAAGGCCAGCCTGAACTGCATAGCAAGACCCTGTCTCAAAAAAAAAAAAGACAAAAAAAATATATTTTCTAATTTCCTTTTTTTTACTGCTTTAGCCTATGAGTTATTTAAAAGTGTGGCTTTTGGCTTCTACATATCTGAGGGTTTTCTAAGTGTGTGTTTTTGGTTTCTAACCCGATTCCACTTTTATTACAGGACATACTTGATGTGGTTTCATTCTTTTACATTTGTTACCATTTGTTTTAGTGCCCAGAAAGTAGTCTCTCTTGGTTAAAGTTTCTTGTGTACTTAAGAAGACTCTATAGGGCTAGGGATTTAGCTCAGCGGCAAAGTGCCTGCCTGGCAAGCGCAAGGTCGTGAGTTCAATTCCTGGTACCAGAAGAAAAGACAAAAGACAAAAAAAAAAAAAAAAAAAAAAAAACAAGAAGACTGTATAGGGCTGGGGATATAGCTCAGTGGCATAAGCACCTGCCTGGCAAGCACAAGGTCGTGAGTTCGATCCCCGGTACTGCAAAAAAACAAAAAGAAGAGTGTATATTCCACTCTGGTCAGGCAGAGTGTTGCGTAGGTATCAATGGGTTCAACTTCCTTGACAGCACTGTTACACCTTCTACAACTTCATTGATTTTCTGAGTACTACTGTAGACTACTAAGAAAGATTTTTGAAATCTCCACCTATAATTATGAATTGGTCTGCTTTTCCATTTTCTTTTTTTTCCTTTTTTTTCCCCCCATTTTTCTTCTATCAATGTCTGCTTCACACATTTTGGAGCTCTGTCATGATGTGCATACACATTTGGGATTATTTTATCTTCTTGATTGATAAACTCATTAATACGTGATCTCCCTCATTAGCCCCTGCAGTACTTCTTCTTCTAAGTCTGCTTTTTTGATATTAATACAACCACTCCAAACTTTCTTCTGATTAGTGTTTGTATGTTATATTTCTTTCATTCTTTTATGTTTATCATGTTTGTATCTTTCAAGTGCATTTAAAGTGCATGCAGCATGTAATTGGATCACATTTTTACCCAATAAGCAATTTTTGTCTTTTACTTAGTGTTTATAACATTGGTATTTAGTATACTGATATGACTGGATAAATCTACCATCTGTCTTACACATACCCAGACTTCACAATCTTTAGCTCCCCCTTTAGGACTGAGTGTGAATTTACGATTAGTAGACCACTCAGGAGGACACACACACACACACACACACACACACACACAGGCAAAAAAAGGCCGGGTGTGGTGGCGCACACCTGTAATCCCAGCATTTGGGAGGCTGAGTCAGGAGGATCACTGGGAGTTCAAGACCAGCCTGCGCTACAAAGTGAGCTCAAGGCCAGCCTGAACTGCATAGCGAGACCCTGTCTCAAAAAGACAAAAAAAAAAAAAAAGGAAGATAAGACAGTCACTATCTCTATCCTTAGCTTTCCCCAGCTCCAGGCCCTGAGAGAAGAACTTTGCAATTTCAGGGAAAGCAAAATGAAAATAAATTTGGAAAATACACTTTTACAAAAACCTCTTACTATAATACCTGGCATGGATCAGAGAAATCAGAATATAAGTCAAGTCTGCTCTACCTCTGTACTCCCTTCTTATTGAATATATTTACCCACAGATCAGGGAAGAGCAACCCGGTGAGAACCCTTGTGTCATACACCCAGGGGTATTCCGGAGCCTGCTTGTACCAGCCAGTGAGACCCGACTGGTAACTTCTCAGGAACTTCTCGAGCTAGTTCTTAATCAGCCATTATTAAAAATTAATAATACTTACAGAAAAGTAAATTGTATCAAAAACAAAAGTAATCATCAAAACTCATTATTTTCTGATTATTTTACTATTGTTTATGCTCATGGGGATTACTAATGTTTGGTTTATCTGAAATACAGTAATATGCATTTCTTCCCGAATATCTGCTCAGTAATATCACATTGGTAGCTTGAAGCTGGCCATGGTAAAGGTATTCACACCATGGAAATCTGTATAAATTATTGTTATGAATTGTTGGTCATCTAGATTGAGAGCTATCAGACTTCTGTAAAAAGCCAGATAATATTTTAGGCTTTGTGAGCCACATGTGATCTCTCACATAGTCTTTGATTATTCGTGCTCTGTACAAAAACTGCCACAAGTTGGATTTGACCCATGGACTAGAGTTTCCCAACCTTTGGTAAAAAAAGGGGCTATGGGTAAGGTTCAGTGGTAGAGCACTTGCCTAGCATGTGCAAGGTCCTGGATTTGACCCCAGAAACAAAAGAAGTAGTAGTAATAAGGAAAATGCCAAAGTGTCACGTCTATAGCCACCACACTGTGAAAAACAGGCCAAAAAGTTAAGGAAATATTCTTCTCAAAACCTATCATTCATTTCAGCAACCTCGTTCACATCGCTGGTGACTAAGTGAAGTTCTCAAATGGGTCTTTATCGTCTCACCTTGTCTCACTCATGAACACAAAAGTATAAAGCACTTAGGTTGGAACTACTCTTTGGTTGGTGACATGACCAAAAGCATTTCTGCAGGGCCAGGCATAATGGCGCATCCCTGTAATCCCAGCACTCAGGAGGCTGAGGCAGGAAGTGCACCATGAGTTCAAGGCCAGCCTGGGCTGCATAATGAATTCAAAGCCAGCCTGAGTTACATAGCCATACCCTGTCTCAAAAAAACAAAACGACGTTTTTTGCTGAAATGACTAATAGCCAAGCATTTATTCTTAGTCTTTTTTAAGTTAGTTTGTTTGGTTTTGGAGGTTTTTTTGACACAGGGGCTAGCTACCTAGTCCAGACTGGTCTCAAACTACAGCAATCTTCCTGCCACAGCCGCCTGAGTGCTGGGATTATAGGCGTGCGCCACCACACCTGGTTTTCATACTCCTGATTTCCTGGCTCTCTTGTGAATTATGAAAACATAGGAGAATTTGTAAAGAGAAAATCATAGTAAAATTATAGGTATATAGAATTTACAATAGAGTACAGTATGATATATTACCAGGCACAGTGGCGTAAACCTGGAATCACAGCACCTGGAGGCTGAGGCAGGAGGATCTAGAAGTTAAGGCCATTCTGGGCAACTCAGCAGGATAAGACAAAAATATAGAGTACTTGCCAGTATGAGGCCCTGGGTTCAAGCCTCAGTACTGCCCCCCCACCAAGTATGAATTATTTTATTTATTTTGGTCCTGAGGATCGAACCTCAGTCCTCAGGCATGCTAAGCTGGGGCTGTATCACTGAGCTGTACTGCCCAATACACTTTATCACTCTGTGCAAATGTCTCACACCTCTTTTGTGCGGTATGAATACAATTTATAACACACATAAACACGCAAACTTTTTTTTAAAAAGCCAGTTGCCAAGCGTCTCCAGCACACCAATTGTACACGTCTCGGGACTTGATCTCACGACCTTGCACTTGCCAGGGAGGCGCTGTGCCGCTGAGATATCACCCCTGATTACCGCTCTGATGAAACAGGCACACAGCCCGCGTCAGTCAGACGAAGGCCGGCCACCGAATGGAGCGACCTGGTGCCCAGCCACTGCACACAACAGGAGTGTGGTGACTTCTCCGCTCTCGGGGCGCATCTGGAAACAGCCATGGAGACACCTCCGCTTAGAGAGAATCAAAAAAAAAAAAAAAAGCCCTACAACTGTTGGACTTTTTGTTTTATTTGCTTTGCTTTCTAAACAAATTAGAAGGTATAAAGCTCAGCTTCGCCTTTGGGTACAAGGTAAACTGTGTAAGAGCTCACAAGCACCTGCAGTTGTGTTTGAATCCCACAGCACCTGGCTCTTCCTTTAAAGAGCTTCCATCTGGTCTCTCTTGCTCCTGACTGAGAACGCTCTCCAAACCAGAATCTGAATTACTGCAATGCCCAGCGGGAGCAGGCAAATCAAACAGAACGTAAAATCTTGAAGGTCTAACAGTGAACTAGGGAGAAAAAAATATATAAAACATAGTTAGACTTTCCCCCCAGTGGCTTCTTATTAATTCAAAGCTATTTAACAAATGGTTTCAGCAAAATTTTGTTATCTATGAACCCATTTACAAAGTCTCCAGGCATGGTGGTGCACCCCTGTAATCCCAGCACTCAGGAAGCTGAGGCAGGAGGATTGCCGTGCATTCAAGGCCAGCTTAGGCTGCATGGCGAGTTCAAGGCCAGCCTGAACTGCATAGGGTGACCCTGTCTTAAGAAAAAAAAAAGTAAAAAACATTGTATGAATTAATTTTAACTCCTTCAAATAATTGAATAATTTCTTCCTTCCAGTTACGTATATTAGAGGAAGCTGATGTGTAAACCCATGACCACAATGCCTGGTGACAAGGGGCACGGCTGCTGTCCTGGATGACACAGAAGACAGAGGACAGAGACAGAGCCCAGGGCACTGAGCCGAGGCTCATCTGCATGCTTTTACTACCTCAGTCTCGAAATTGCCTTCCAGCAGGTTTTAAATAAGGTGGGAGGACTTGCATATTTGTTTCTAGCACTACACTGACTTCCTCTCAGCACAGGGGGAGGAATCCAGGGATCACAACAACGCTCAGGAGCAGCAGGTCCTGCTTCCTGCTAAGAAGCTCCACAATTCAGCTTGCTGTCAAGTCTGCAGTTTATTTTTGGCTAGCTGCACTATCTAAAATAGCCCTTCCTTCATTCAGCCAATTGAAGAAGGAAATGAAAAACGGAAACTATATGATACAAGGAGAGGAGGCGGTTTCTATTTCATATTAAAACCCTATTACCAGAACCGATAGATCACTCATTTATCTAAAACATATAGGGAATGTGTGTGCGTTACGTAAGTACTATGTGGGAAGGACTAGACAGTCAGTGGCGGGCAAAACTACCAGAGTCCCCGCCCTCATGGAGCTCACCTTCACGCAGGCAGTAGGTCCTCCCCAAAAGAGGCAGCTCTTACATAACTCTAAGTGATTTTGATTTGCATGTGGTTACCTAAGATGACTATAGAAAAGCCAATGATGGAAGTCCCTGTCAGAGAGTCAGACCCGCCCTTGGCAAGCAGAATCCAGAAAAGGCTTCCCAAGGAAAAGGCACTTGAATGGAGTTCTCAGAGAGGGAGGGTGTGGACCAGAAGGCTTCCGCCTGGAGTCAGGAGCAACCACTCCAAGCGTGGCCACCTCCGCCCCTTGAAGCCGTGGTTAGGAACGTCCCTGGTCCTCAGGACCCCGCGCATCTGTAGGCACAGCCCTCCCTCCCAGCTGCTGCTCGGCAAGCCCGGCCTCCACCTCGGGCCCTACGTGGTCCCAGAACTGATCACTGTCCCGCTGTCCACCCTCTGCTGCTGCTCGGGCCTGCGATGACCACGGAGGCCAGGGTCGCTAGGCTAGCCCGCGTTAGATTTCTGGCATGGGCAGCGGAAGTGGCCTGAACAATGCACCTTTCCCGCTGGCGCTTTTTCCGCGCTATTGTAAATTGGCCACCTCTGACCACCCCGAGGGAGGGCTCCGTGCTGTCTGATCAGCCACAGCCAGTAAGACACAGCAGGGTTGAAGCAGCTACGTACAGACTACAACAGGAGCGGTAGGTCGCGATCGTGCCTTTCCCCTTCGTGTCCTGCGCGCTTATGGTCGTGAGCCAGCTTTGACTATTCGCGTTCGGAGCCAGACATGCACTAGATGGGAGCACAGACCTGACCACGGGTGAAAATGCCAAAAAGGGAGTGGAAACCAAGCTCCACTGTGAAGCAGCGTAAATCATGCACGTCTCCAACAGCAAAGAAAGGACGCGGCCCAAGACCTTTAGCGGAGGGAAAAAAGCACCGTCCGTGGCCAGCCGCTGCTAGTCACAGATTAGGACGGTCGGTACTCCCAGGCCCCGCGCTTCATGAAAAGGCTGGTTTCTGCCAGGTGAGGCGCCTCTGTGCTTTCTGTCTCTGTCTGCGTAGCAGCGGGAGCCCATCATCCTTTAGCGTGATCTGATTGTAACAGAGTCTACTTTCAGAAATACCAAGAAACTGGATTCCACCTGCCAGAGATTCTCAGGGAGGTTTTCCATCTGAGATGAACTGTCTTTTTCTCCTCTTTCCACGGGGAGAGGGGTAAGGGGAGCCCTGTGATAACCTACAGAGGCAAAGTCCTTCCGAGCACGCTGAGAATATGCCCACAGAGGGCCCGAGGCCGGGCCTCAAGGGCAGCCAGGCAGTGAGTATTCCCGGAAATACGGCAGTCTGGTCACCTTCCCGTTGTGGTGTGAGATCCACCCTTCAGGCTTATGTGGACTGATGTTACAACATTTGGATGGCTTCCTGCTCTCCAAGGTACCTGTGATTTCCCCACCACTTCACTGAATAGCTTCATGCTCTTCAAAGAATTCCTTGTTTTTTTCTGATCCTTTCTTAAGATTTCTTCTTTACTCTTCTTTCTTTTATTATTATTATTTTTTTTGAGACAGGGTCTCACTATGTAGCCCAGGTTGGCCTAGAACTTTGGGCCCCCAGGCCAGCCTCAAACTCACAGTGATCCGCCTGCCTCAGCCTCCCAAGTGCTGGGAATCCAGGTGTGTGCCAGCAGGCCTGAATTGAAATGTTCTAAGGTGGAAACATACCTATGCTTTTATTTGTTTTGTTTTGTTTTTTTTTTTGGTTTTTCTCCGGTACTGGGAACCGAACTCATGACCTTGCCCTTGCCAGGCAGGTACTTTTGCCGCTGAGCTAAATCCCCAGCCCCTCCTATGCTTTTAAAGAATCTCTGTTTCTCTCTCAAAATACATTCACGTTTACTCCACTGGGGCCTGAATCAGCACATTAATTAGTCGGGCTATTCTGCTCTCACGCTGTCTTCCTCTCTCGTCTCTAACCTTAGCAACGCTGCTGAGTGAGTCACTAGTAGGAAAATAATTCTTGAGCCCTGCTTATATTTTTATTGATTCACAAATATTTATTGCACAATTAACTGTTCCTGGTGCTTGAGAAATAGAGCAAATAAATAAATCAACAACGATCCTTACCCTCAACAAAGCTTCCATGCAGTGGGAACAAAACTACCAGAAATAAATATATTAATGTCGCCTTGTAATGGTAACAACTGCACTTCTGTTTATAGAAACGTTTTTGTACCCAATTTTCCTTCACAGTTTATTTTTAAAAGAAAAAAAATCTACTTGAGGGTTATAATACCCTAAAATATTACTTTCTGGTGACTTCACCTCAATTTCTTAGCTTATACCTGTTAAGCCACTTGTAAAAGCTCAACAAGATAAAGGCGGCCACAGTACACATCATCATACTCCTACCTCAAACCCTATCATACCTAGGATCTCCCTCATCACAAAACTAAAATGGAGCCTAGCTCCTTTCCATTCTCCTTCCCCTATTAGTAGAGTATCTGCTCCCAAACTACAAATTAATGAGGTTGATCTCCGAGAGCCTAAGTGCTGTATCAGAGCTTTACCGTTATACTTTTGCAGACAGCCCTATCAGTGGCGTCACAGCCAAAGTCAGTATCAGTCAGTGAGAAATCGTGGGGATGGAAGAGCTGCTCCAGATCGAAAAGGCCAGAGAGACTCCAGTGAAGCTCAACTGGTAGTTTCTTTTGCAGTAAAACTTCAACAGCTGCTACCTCAAGAACAGACAGGAAATTTCTCCCTTCTAAGGTCAGCCTGACGAGCCCTTTTCAAGAACAATGGTGTAAAAAGTATCACAGGGTGACTGTCTGTCTGGCCTGTGTTTTAGTTGTCTTGGACTGCGGTAACTAAACACCAGAGACCAGGCGGTTTAATCAGTAAAAGTGTATTTTCTCACAGTTGAGGTTGGAGGTTCATGGTGCCCGCATGGTCAGATTCTGGTGAGAGCCCTTTTTCTGGCTTGCTGAGAATAAATTTTATCCTTGATGATGGAGAAAGGGAGAAAGAACACGGGCTCCAGTGTCTCTTCTTCTTTCTTTTTCCAGTTTTTGTGTCTGAGTGGGGAGTTGTTCAGTGCTGGGGAACCAAACTCAGGACCTCACCCAGGCTAAGCACGCGCTGTACCAAGTGAGCTGCACTGCCAGCCTCTGGCGACTCTGTGGATAAGGGCACTTATCCTACCCGGGAGGCCCCACCCTTGTGACCCGGTTAAACCTAACACCTCTCAAAGGCCGACCTCCAAATACCATCACGTTGTGAGTTAGGGCTTTAATATGTAAGTTTTGCAGAGACATAACTCAGGGCACAACACCCTGTTTGACATTTTCTGTCATTGTTAGTAATTTTCACAACAACCCTGAAGGAGTCACAGAGGTTTGGTTTAATTAAATTGTCCAAAGTTACACAGCTAGTGGATTTGGAGCTAGAGCTGAGATTTGTATCTAAAAAATTTTATCAGAACTAAAACTTCAATAACAAAGGTAACTCTAATCTAAATTTATCAGAAGAAAACTCAGTTTTTAAGAAAGGGGCAGGGCATGGTGGTGCACACCTGTTATCCCAGCACTCAAAATTAAAAAAAAAAAAATCTTCCATGGAAATAAGACGCTCTCAAATATGAGTGTATGTGAGTGCACTCACTGCTTGATGCAATTACACAGTGGCCTTGAAGTTGTGTGGATTTGGTTTTTCATTTTGTTGTTTGTTTGTTTGTTTGTTTGTTTGAGACAGGGCCTCGTTATATAGCCCAGGTTGGCCTTGAACTCACAGCGATCTTCTGCCTCAGTCCCCCGAGTGCTGGCATCACAGGTGTGCGTCACCACACCCAGCAAAATGTAAGGATTTAAACGCCCTATATACCTATTTTTCATTGCCAGAGGTTGGCGGATATTGTTAAGGTTTTACTTCATAAAGACGAAGTGGAAAAAAAATAACAGTATAACCTATTAAAAAAAAAAAAAAAAAAACAAAACAACAAAACCACCCTAAAGCTGATTATCTCCTGCTGTGGATGTAACCATGTCTCAGTTGTCCCTCTGTAATGAAACCACAGGCTCCTGTTTACATAGCT